ACTGTAGTAATATCGAAGAAAATGTGTTATTCACTGCACTTGATGTTTTTGTTGTCAATGCTTATTATTATTATTATTATTATTATTATTATTATTATTATTATTATTATTATTATTATTATTATTATTATTATTATTATTATTATTATTAATTTTATTATTATCAATATTATTATTAATTTTTTTATTATTATTATTATTATTAATTTTATTATTATTATCAATATTATTATTAATTTTATTATTATTATTATTATTATTATTATTATTATTATTATTAATTTTATTATTATTATCAATATTATTATTAATTTTTTTTTATTATTATTATTATTAATTTTATTATTATTATCAATATTATTATTAATTTTATTATTATTATTATTATTATTATTATTATTATTATTATTATTATTATTATTATTATGATTATAGGTCTCGTTTTGCACTAATTCTCTCTCTCCCCCACGATCACCATTGGATGGATCTTTGCCACACTCCAACCAGAAGGCAAGATCAGCTCCAGTTCCCTGGATCAAGAACTCTTCTGCAGCTTCAAGGATTAACTTAAATAAAAAACAAACGCTCGTTTTGCCAAACAAGTTGAATATTAAATTCTGAGCATTAGAAAGTTATTCCGGTCTGTTCTTCTGGGATACCTTGATGTTGGTAGAGCGTTCTTGATCCAAAGAACTGGAGCAACCTTGCCTTTTCATTAGATAAAACCTAAGTGCCTTTTAATTTTTTCAGGTGTTCATTGGTCTAAACGCTTGGTTGTTTAATAAGGTCTAAAGTCTATCGACTCCACGTGGGTCATTAAGGCCATTTATGAACTGTTCACTACCTGTTAAGAATTCTTTAATGCATAAAACAGGGATGAGCTCCGTGTATGCACTGTATATACAGTGTCTATTGTATATATACATTTTCAGTGTATATAAAGTGTATATACACTGTAAATACACCTCTTGGTACATATTTCTGTTAGGTTTGGCACTTCCCTATGTATATAATAATGTAAATATTTTAATAATAAGAATAATAATAACAATAATAATAATATTATATTATTATTATTATATTTCTTAAATGTTAAATAATGGTAACTAAATAATATAACTTTATTATTATTAATAGTAGTAGTAGTAGAAGCAGTAGTAATAGTATTATTACTTATTATTATTATAATTATTATTATTTACTAGTAGTAGTTATTGTTGTTGTAACAGTAGTAGTTACAAATTATGCTAAATGCAGACTGACCTTCAATAGGTTGGGTAAGATTAAGCTAAATTATATGACGTGAAGTATACGTAAGGTTTGGGGGGAAAAATTAATTCATGAAAATTAATATATTTTTATGACTCACGGGTTCAATCCCGGCCGGGGTATGGTTAATATATTTTTATGGTAGCTCAGCTTATTTAAATGATTCTGCTTCATAAGTAGTATATAGTTACCACATTTCATCTTTTATATTGAAGAATTGAGACACTTAAGCAACACATGGGAATCTTTATTGAAGAAACGTTTCGCCACACAGTGGCTTCATCAGTCCAATACAAAGTAGAAATGAGTAAGGAGAGTAGAAGTTTGAGGTAATCAGTCCCTCAACCTGGAATCGATGTGTTCAGTCCATCACTCTTGTAGGAAGTGCAGCATAGGGCCAGAGAGGTGGCTTATATACTGCGGTGAAATGAGTTGAAGCAAGAGGAGGCGGGATCACAGTGGGACCTGCCACTAGTGTAAGTAGGTCGTCGTCCAAAGGTTGGGCAAGCGTTGAAGTCTTTGTACCAAGATCCCATGATGTTGCAGTGTCTGACAGATGTGATGAATGGTTTTGAGAACCGACAAGTTGAAGAATTGAGACACTTAAGCTTGCCCAACCTTTGGACGACGACCTACTTACATTAGTGGCAGGTCCCACTGTGATCCCTCCTCCTCCTGCTTCAATTCATCTCATCGCAGTATATAAGCCACCTCTCTGGCCCTATGCTGCACTTCCTACAAGAGTGATGGACTGAACACATCGATTCCAGGTTGAGGGACTGATTACATCAAACTTCTACTCTCCTTACTCATTTCTACTTTGTATTGGACTGATGAAGCCACTGTGTGGCGAAACTTTTCTTCAATAAAGATTCCCATATGTTGCTTAAGTGTCTCAATTCTTCAACTTGTCGGTTTTCAAAACCATTCATCACATCTTTTATATTAATGTAATATTACTGATAAGGCAACAAAAGGACCCCATTGGAGATAAGCCACTTCGTCTGACTTTTTTGGGTTATCCCAGGTTCTCTACACATATGCTGCTATGTATGATATTCTGTGTAACTGTGTTTGTGTATACCTGAATAAACGTTCTTACTTACATACTTATTATCACATTGATAACCTTTATCACCACTGTTATCACAATTTTTACCACCGTTATAACAGATATCAATCATATATATGATTAGTCATATATAACTTTAAATTTTAAAGGGGTAGGGCGGTAAGCCAGCAGAAGACCTCGGTCAGATGACTAAAAGCCCCAGCTACGGGTCGTCGTATAACTACGACCCACGTCAGTAAACACTTATCCCGTTTCCTGATGAACCTTACCTAACCATATCAGAACAGGAAGGATTACCACAAAAACAATCTGAGACGAAGATAAATACATTTATTCAACTCTACATGTACAAAGATGTTTTTTTCCTTTCTTACTCCAATGAAAGTCTAATAAATATAGATGAAACAATGTGTATAATAAAGTGCACAAGTCCTCCACCATTGTCCTTCATTTGGTTGATATTTTTTTACTTGAAATAGTTGCTGGATCGTTTATAAGAAACAAGTGACTATCGGAGGCAGAGGATCGAGCAACTGATTGAATCCTACGAAAAAAAAAAGTAAAGTATGTTTTCATTGGTCATGTTTTTCTTTTGTTTGCACCATCGAGGATAAGTAAGTTTACACGAGATATTATTGTTTTTTTTTTTTGTCGATAATTAGACGTGTTGAAAAAATCAGAAAAAAAAAAAACTGTCGATGCTTATTATTTTCTTTGTGCCGTAGAGAATACTATCCCTTGGAAGGCGGACGGGAGATGGAGTTCGTTGTTGCTCCCAGTCTAAAACATAATTTTTCTCTCTGAATTGGAGGCTCTGAACCCCATCTCGCGAGGCCCCCGAGGTTCACATTGACATAGCAGGTACAAGCGCTTTTGGTCACTCGGGTAAAGCAATTGAACGCCAAGGAGTTCTTTCAGTCTTTCACTAATGACACTAAGAAGGTTTCTGCTTCACAATGATTTTTTAAACAACATTAATAAAAATCAGCATTCGGTACAGTCAAGTTATTTTTTTGTTTTTACAAGATAATTTTTATTAATTTCACTACCTTAATGACAATAAAAACTGTGCATACAATCAACAAAGGGTTGACCCCAAATTCAAGAGTACAGAACACAGATGTTTTACAGAGTGGCTGTGAGCGTGTGAGGCAGCTAGCAGCAAGAAGGTGGTGGTGTTGTTTTCCAGCCAGACCAACATCTGTCTTAGCTAAGTGTCTGACCTCTCAGACGAGTGTCTGTGAGCTTAGCTGAATGTCTGACAACTCAACCTAGTGTCTTGGCATCTTCCAAGTGTGCCTGAGGTACTGGGCCAAGTGTCTTGTCAACCAGATCAAGTACGGAGTCATCTGACTGTTTTTGTTCTAGGGCGAGTTAGTCAACTCGGCGAGATGTTCATTAACCAAGATGCTCCTTGACTCAACTGTGTAATCAGTCAAAATAAAGCTTAGTCGAGCCAATCCAGCCCAGCTGAGCCTCTATTCACTGTCTTCAGCCAGTCAGTCAAATACCTGTCCACCTAGCCAGTCGGTCCAAGCAGCACGTGCCGTTCAGCCATACCCTGTCGCATCAGCCTAGTGGCCAGTGACGGTAAGCAAGAATACATACGCGTTTGGTCACGTATATTCACACGTTTGATCACGTATACATACGTATTTCATCACGGAAATATACGTGTTTAATAACATAAATATACGTTCTGGATAACGTACAAATACGTAAGCACGTATACACACGTACTTGAGGCCAGCCTACTACCACAGCTCTTGTGGCCAGTGACGCCCACTCTCAGACCCTAGGCCATTACAAGCGGTTCTCCTATTCACAACAAAGATAAAATAACCATACTGGGATAGGGTCCGAAAGCTGACGTCTCTCTACCACTGGGTACCATTTTAATCTTAGGAACAGTTGTGATCTAATACCACCAGATCTTCAAAACTGCTCTTTCAAAACAATGGATTTTAAAAAAAAAATTTGAAAAAAAACAAAAAATCATAAAAAAATAAAAATCTAGTTATTTGGTGCAGAGATGGGGCTTTTTGTAGAGGTGTTTACATAACCATTGATTGTACAAATTTTGGATAAAGTTCGTATCAGTTATAATCTATCGTTACATATACAAATATAAACTATCTTATGTACACTATTTACAAGACAGAACTGGTCCAAAATGCAACCCTGACGGCCGTGACCACCACATCCTCCTCCTCCTCCTCCTCCTCCTCCGTGGATCAAAACCCACCGTCTTCCTTAAGAGTGCATTTTAGTCGTTATCTTTGGTTTTATTCTGAATGGCCCCAGACCCAAGGTATGGAGAAGCTGGGAAGCTCGCAGTATGGTGTTGTATGAAGCTCGGAACATATATGATCATAAGAGGTTGGCAGCCTCCATGTGAAGCAAGTAGATTCATTATGAACACCCACCGAAGTTAACAAATAATGGGAGTAGATTGGAAGAAAAACTGGGTCCTGTAGTATCATCTCGAGGTTTTAACACAATATAATTAAGCTCCTTAAACGAACGTAGTAACAAGCTTCCAACACACTACATACAACGTGCCTGATATTTTATATATAATATATATATATTATATATATATATATATATATATATATATATATATATATATATATATATATATATATATATATATATATATATATATATATATAAAGAGCCACTTTTAAACTGATAATTAAAGCCCAAACACTAATGCTTTCATAATAAAAAAAATTAGAGCAAATAGAGAATATATAAGAAAAAACAGATTTGATTCTAAACTGAAGACGTAAATTCGAGCATTGAAACAAACTGGAAATGCTCTTTTTATTTACATTAGTTTAGAAGTCAAGTTAGCCTCTCTCGGCTCCAAACATTGGCAAGGGAAAGTCTTCCTAATATGGCACATACTAACTTTCACTAATGAAGAGCAAAAACTAAGTTTTGATTTCAAGATTCCAAAAACTAAAACGCAAATGTTTAAACAAGTATTTAAGAGTAATGACATTCTAGACGTACCAAAAAAAAATAAAGTAAACTATAAAGGAATGTAGCCAAAACAAATAGGAATTTGTGTGTTTACAGTGACGTCACTGCAGAAAACCATCTACAGGCAAGAAAACTCGATATGTAAAGTAAAAAAATAAGGCAAATAAGAGTATAAAAGTAAAAACAGTTAAAACAAGAATAATACTGATTGACCGCTGACGAGGAGAAACAGACACTAAAAGGCCATTGTGCTGAAGACCGGTTTTGTAGGCTTGACTCTAAAGTGAGTGAATTCTTTTTTCCTGAAATTTAATATCAAAGAAAAATATTGCATTCTTCCTTCGAAAATTAGTTATAGGCAAATACTGTTTAAATTTACCCAGTAGAGATACTGAACTAGAATATCTAATAGATGTAAAGACATGTTGCCGAGTAAGCTTTAACTGGGACGTTTGGCTCTGTTAGACATTTATGAAGTCTTAACTTTTAAAAGTTCTACACAGAGCGAAATGTCACAATATAAGTTTGCTCTGCAGCGTATCTTCACTGTTGTCGCCAGTACGATAATTGTGTCTATCTTATAGATGTTTTCAAGACTTGATGATGGTCGAAATCTGTTGTTGTAGTTGATACTAGCTTCCCTGGCTTTGGGTGTGACTATATAGAAAGTCACACCACTGATATTTACTGAATGCCTATCAATGTCGAACAAATTCGTCCAGCTACCTAGCACGGCCGTGCCACCTAGCTAGGACCACGCCACGCCAATCTGCGCCACCTAGAAAGGTTATATCACCTAGCACTAGTCCTGTCTCCCGGTACTGTAGTCGGTAGCTCCTGAGATAACTAGGGTCGTTCGGGACAAGAGTGTCGTAGCAACTCGTAGTTTAAGGTCTTTTCTCTTTTTTGTTTTGCTTTGGTTCATGTGCTAGTCATAGCAAATACGCTTTCGATTTCATTTTTGGCCACTTTTCTCTCAATTATCATCTTCATCAGGATATGCTTTACACAATACTAAAACGCAAATACAATAAATAAAAGAGATATTGTTTTAAGTTTATATCTTAAAATCCTGTCAAATCCAGTTGAAGGAGAAGTTTTAGCAACTTATCCGTACCTTTCCGCAATGGGAAAATCCAAGATCCAGTCACTGTTTACTCAGAGCTGGTTTTAGATGGTGCTGATGACCATGTTCGGATTGCGACAAGTGTTCCGTTGGAGCAGATTTAGACATTTGAACAGAGAACTACATTATTGTACATACATGAATAACTAAAGTGTAATGAAAACTTGTCAATGCTCAGTAATAACTCACATGGAGACAACAACTCAGAAGATTAATTAATCTGTATATTTCGACCCTTTTCTGGGTTCCTCTTCTGAGTTTCTGTCTCCTTGTTGATTATTTTTGAGCTGAAACACATATGTGTGATACAAATAACAAGATGTTTGATTCAGAATAGACAAGTGAGCCAGGCACAGCTGTGAGAGAGATGTCTGAGCTGGGCGGGAGACTAATCACTTTTTTCTCGATCATTATACTGAGGCTTTCGACATGTCTTAATATGTGCAACTGCAGTTGTGTATATATTTAAAGCAAATATTTAAAAACAAAAGATTCAAAAAATATAACTTATTAACAGATATAAGGAATGAAAATATAATTTTTAATTAGTCCCCATCTCTTTCGGAAGAATGGCTGAAAGCAATTCGTAAAGTCGATATTATTGAAAAAGGAAGTATCAGTGTTAATCATTGAAACGTGCACAACTGAACGCTCACGTCAGTGTTCTGGTTTTCACTATCCTGTTCATCTCTCATTCCTGCAGTCTTGAACAGGTAGTTTTTATTATTTTTATTATAATTTTTCAATCGGTACCCCTCCCATGTAGACAGTCAAGTCCCAAATGATGTCCCTGAGGTGAAAAGGGTAGCCATCTGTGCACCAAATATCTCTGTAACTTGCTGACTACAGCAGTGCTAAGCTCAACAAACTTGCCAGACCCGCTTTAAGAAAACCAAAAATTTTCTGGGTGAAGCAACACATCTGTCTGGAGAGGCCACAGGAAGGTCTTATTCTTTCTGCAGGTGTGGGTGACCCATCATCTGGGGGCCTCTTCCCTCTTGCAAGTGTAGAGGATCGAACAGTCATCTAGGGGTCTCATTCCTCCTGAAGGTGTGGATGATCATATATTTGATGGTCTTATTCCCTATGAAAGCGTGGATGATCAGTCGTCTGGCATTTTTACAACTGCAGGTACCGGATGATTTGCGGTGCTGGTGTTCCATTTCTCACACGAATCTTGAGCAATTAGAGATGTGTGTTTGGAAGGACATGGATTTTAACCTTAGTAACGATGTACAGAGTTCATCATTAGATCATGATCAATGGCCAAGTACTGTTTTGAAACTCATAAAAAATACGAAGTTCAAGAATGCGGTGTTTCTTTTCTATCAGGCTCCTTGTGCTTCTGTTGTTGGTTTGGTTGCTGGTGGCACTGGTGCGGTGAGCTGCTGGTGACACTGGTGCGGGTCAGCTGCTGGTACTGGCACTCTGGGAAGGCTAGTTCACCGGCCGCCACTGTTGTGACCAGTCAAGGTAGGACAACATACACTACACAACACATAACATCAATAGGAACAATGGGCCGAGTGTGGGTGTGCTGCTGCTGCTGCTGCTGCCACCGTCGCACAACACACAGGACTAGCATGTCGAGGCACCCACTGCTGCCACGCGGGCGTGACATGGGCACCGCTCACTGGGAAGTCAACGTGACGCGAGGTGTGGGAATGTGCGGGCTACGCCACCCGCCCTGCCGCTGCTGCCGCCGCCGGTCAGGTAGGCGGCGCTGGGGCTCGGGGTGGTGTCCCGGGAGGCCGCGGCGCCACCGGCGACGTCCAGGGCGGCGCCGTCGGAGCCAGAGGGCCAGTCACACCCCTTAGTAGGAGTGGGGGAGGCGGGCGGCTAGATGCCACCCAGGGATGAGGGGCCGACCTGGGAAACCCCAGGGATGGAGGAGCGAGTCCTTGGGTCCCTGGCGGCGGCAGTTGGGACGCTACCATGGGGGCCCAATCTCAAGACCCGGGCCCCGACAGATTGGAGGAGTCCCCAGTGTCCTCATTGGAGGTGTTGGCGGTGGCGGCGGCATTAAAGTGAGGGGAAAACAGGCTCCCAGATTTGGAAGAATCATCACTGATGACGGGCGTGAAGTGGAGGCCCTTGTAAGATTCGAGGCCCTCGTGGGTTCCGGCCGAAAGAGGAGGGAACAAGCCTTTCTTATTTTGATTCACGACACATTTTCTCATATGCTTTTCTAGCGTGGAGGCGACACTAAATGGCATATCACAGAATCGACAACGGTAAACATCCTTGCCCATGCGACCATGCGTCTTCATATGCCGTGTGAGCTTTGAACTTTGCGCACATGCGTAACTACAGAGGTCACATTTATATGGCTTCTCCCCAGTGTGAGAGCGCCGGTGAACTGTTAGGTTCGAGCAGTTTTTGAACACTTTGCCACAGAATTCGCAGGTGTCATTCCTTCGGCTCTCTTTTTTAGGTGGGGGAACTAAGGAGATTGGCGTCCCCGGCGCTGAACTAGTGCCAGGCTTGGGTAGGCCTACGGGAACATCCCCGGGCTTAATGGGACCCTTCTGTCAATAGTTTACGTTGCAAAAAGTTTGCTTCTGACGACTGCATACCGTGGAACAGTTCTTTTGGAGACCCTCCTGTACCCGCCAGGTTTGGAAGCCAGAGTCCGGCATACAAGCTGCCTTCTCTCTGTGCTTGGACTAAGCGCTTCTGTGCATCGTAAGGATTATCAAAAGCTCCCAAAAGTGTTTGATGGGCCACATCAAGGGTTGGCTGAGAACCCATCAACCCTTTCGTCAGATCATCCCTCAACTTGAGCTTCTCGATTCCGTTCGTGTGGATCTTCTCGCCATCTTTCCCGACGATGTGGTGGGTAAGACGACCAGATTCCTTCAGCGCCATGTGGTAAGCTTCACTGTAAGCAGAGATGCTCGTCAGCCCAAACTTATCCATGAGTTCCCCAACCACTGACTTCTGTTGATCTCCTCTGGACAACTTGTGGTTGTCTGCTGTGCTAGAGGACACACTCTGAGAGGTGGGCACTGGTGTACTCTTGGAGGTAGTGGAGAGGTCCTCGGGTTCATCATCATCCATGTCTTCTTCCGCAATATCTTCTTCTTCCTCTTCCCCGCTATCACAAATGGAAGGGTTATCATCATCCTCGTCTATTTCCTCTTCCTCTTCTTCTTCCTCTTCCTCCTCTTCCTCGTCATTATCGTCCTCAGTCTGAGGGCGTGAGGAGTCTGGAGAAGCACTTTCTGCGCTTGAATTTTTCTTGTGTGCCTTCATGTGCAAACGTAATTTTTGGGGCGTAGGTAAAGTTTCTTGACACCTCGGGCAGCGGTAGTCCTTCTCACCTGTGTGGAGCCTCTGATGGATGGCCAGGTTACTCTCCCACCTGAAGCACTTACAGCAGGTCATACATTTAAAGCGTCTCTCCGGCGCTATTAACGCCGGGTCAGTCCGTGTGGAGGTGGGCATTTGGGATGGCGCCAGATTGGAGGGCGTTGGAGCATTTGGCGAGGCAAACGGAGGTGTTGGAAGAGGTTTCCGAGGCGAGGTGGAGCTGGTGGGGC